AATGCGACCAATTGAAGGATTGAGGGAAAAGAGTGACAGGGTTCTTGCAGGCTCGTTCAACCAGCGAGCAAAGCAATACCCAAAGATCAATCTGAAGGAGGGATGGTGCACACGGGCAAAACAAATCGAAAAAGGGATGACATGATGAATGAGTCTGTCAAGGCGCGAAGAGTACTTGGCAGAACAGTCCTTTGCTTGGCGATTATCATCCACTCTACCAGATCCAGATCGTCGTCGTTATGGAGAGGACATTATTGGCGAATTTGGTACACAGCCACAACAAGCGTGCGTTTGGATCCTCTAAATGGCGTATGCTGGACGCGCGGAGATTCGTGGAAACCCATCATTGAGTATGTGGCTGCTGCAATGAGACCAGGGCAATTCAGTCCGCTTATCAGATGAGAGATCTCTCTAGATTCTAAGACTTCAGAATCATCAAATGATCTGTAGTCTAGAGGTTGTCTATGATGGATGTACGGAGTAGTTGAAAGTCATCCCTCCTGTTTCTTGGCGCTCTGATTCCTGATTTGAGGCCAGTCAAGTTGGGTTAATTCGCTCTAGCGGTGACTCCTTACTCTGTACGGAGTATTATCCTAACCAATTAAGGTTGGCTCTCTCAATAACCCCGGCAAGCTTTGTCTTTTTGTGGCGTAGCATCATCCAGTCAATAACCCTGTTCATTTTATGAAAGAGTGATTTGCCAGTTCTCTCAAAAATAGTCACTTCCATATTGGTTGATAGGAGCTTGAAGTTGAACTAGAAGCCAGAAGTCTGGGTTTCATGGAATCATGGGTGATTGCAGGACCATCTGTGGGTCTTGGATAGATACGGCATGTCCATTGGTTCTAATGATCTCTCAATTGATACATGCGATGTTCATCGGATTTGGCTGCTCTGCCTCCTGTCCAGAGACCACAGCCACATGTCATCAGCCACAGTAAACCTCATCAGCCACATTCTAGTATTCGAACTTCGTCTTCGCCTCAAGAATCAGCTCCTGACTTTCAACTGATGTCAAGAATCTGATAACATCATCATGCTTAAAGTTCCCAGCTCGCCTCTTGGATTTTGAATCTGACCCTGCAATGGGTTGCAATCAATGATACCCAAGTGCTCGTGCAACAAGACACGTCAGTAGCACTTGCATCCTGTCAGAGCCTGCTGGATTCAAGATATCCGTATTCGTGTCCAACCCTTGCGCCATGGGTGGTGAGTTGTTCAGCTTGTACTCCGTAGTTGTGGCCATGCGCTTAACTCAGCCGTCCTATATCCTACAGATGATGAAGCCGCTGCCGAGTGAGCCATTAATGATACATTTTACAGCGGTATGACTCTGGGATGATCCGGTTCTAGCAATGCAGCACGAACCTGGCTCGATGGCGATACATCAGGCAATATGAGATTGGAAAGAAAGCAGTGACATTCGTTGCAAATGGGAGTTGGGTTTGTCGCCTGCGTAGTACTCCAAGGACATGGTTGCGTAAAACTACTGCTTAAGGATACTTATGCTCAAATGACTAATAATAAGAGGACCACTCCGTTATGCAACTGAAAATTTTGAATGTGGGCTTCAGGGCAGCGGCAGCTCCAGACCCTGAAACCCTGGTTGGTCCCTGGTCCCTGGTAAGATATTGTATTGCCCAGGATGTATTATTGGTCTGTCAGCTTACAAACAGAAGGACTCGCATAATATGCTGTTGGAACCATCTCCTCTCTGAATGCAGTCTTACTTTCTTGTTATCGTGATAGTAACTCAACTTACAGGTCTTTGACTTTGAACACATCAATGACCCACCGATGCTCACATAGTCGAATTGGCGATCTTAGAAGATCAGGACAAGCCAGACAAGCCAGACAAGCCAGACAAGCCAGGACTTGAGTAATGCCTTGTGCCCCTATTCCTAAGCCAAGCTACTTCAACATAAGATACCTAAGCTACTTCGTAATTCCATTACTACAATACAAGCCCCGTCCCAACGACGAATCAGCACCCTGGACCCTGGCACTAAGTTTCAGAGTCCCCGCAGTTATATCACCAAGAATGTCAATCTTTTGTCCCTGGACGTATCATCTGATTCGATTGCATTGATTGTTCTCAAGCAATGATCATTACAGAGGATACGGATACTTGGCGATACACCAGATTTACCCCTTGGATACTCTCAAGTGAGACAATTGGGGCAATTGTCTCCATCAACTGCAGTGAGAAGATGGATTCGAGTCAGGAAATGCCCAATCATCAGACAACAATCCTCTCCAGATGTCTCAATATTACATAGAATCAATTGGATGATTATCATGATTGATAGTCAAGTATACTATTTATAATCGGCCAGTGACTGGGTATATTACAGGGGCTGCTTACTACTTAGTCCACTCCCCCCAAGTGCTTGCCTTGGTGCCTGCTCCAGCTAGACTACTAGGTCTCCTTTCTATCCTCTTCCTCTTCCAGTTATCCCCGTGCTTTCTTCCTCCTCTCCTCCTTCATCTTCTCGCCATCCTTCTTTCCCTCCTTGTATTCTATTTCCCTCTTGGGACCCCAACATCCAACGGCTCATTGTGTAACCGCCGTCAGTCACTCGTTGTCCATATTTTGTCATTTTCTTCCCAAGACCCTGTGGGTTTGATATCAACTGGGTTTGCGGACCAGCCCATCAACCACTCTTCGCAGGTCATCGACATCATCTTCTCTCATCCACATCTGAACTCACTCGTTTAAATCACATACAACATGAAGTTTGTTTACGCCATCGCCGGAGCTTCCCTCGTGGGCAGCGCCCTCGCAACACTGCCCGTCATCGAGGCTAAGGTACTAACACCTGTTGCTGGACGATCGCAGTAGACACTAACTCTTTTGTACGTGATACAGGGCAACAAGTTCTTCTTCTCGAACAACGGAACGGAATTGTAAGTTTACCTCTCGCTTCCCTGCATCATAGTTCAGTAACTGACCGTCGTCAGCTTCATTCGCGGTGTTGCCTACCAACGTATGTCCCAAAGCGATCTCCATCAGTCGGCACCGAAACTAATGCAGTGTAGAGGAGTACCAGGCCAACGGCACAGCGTCCGAGAACTCCGACTACACCGACCCTCTGGCCAACGTCGACAGCTGCAAGCGTGATATCCCCTACCTGAAGCAGCTGCGCACAAACGTCATCCGTACCTATGCCGTCGACCCCACCCAGAACCATGACGAATGTATGAAGCTCCTGGACGACGCCGGCATCTATCTGATTACCGACCTGTCTGCGCCCTCCGAGTCCATCAACCGTGCGGACCCTGCCTGGAACACTGACCTGTACAAGCGCTACACCAGCGTCATTGACGCCTTTGCCAACTACTCCAATGTCATTGGCTTTTTCGCGGGTAACGAGGTCGCCAACGACAACAACAACACCAATTCGATCGCCTACGTGAAGGCTGCCGTGCGAGACATGAAGTCGTACATCAAGACCAAGAACTACCGCTCCTCCCTGGCTGTCGGATACGCCACCGACGACGACGCCACGATCCGTGCCGACTTGGCCGACTATCTTGTCTGCGGTGACAAGGACAGCTCTATCGACATGTTCGGCTACAACATCTACGAGTGGTGTGGTGATTCTTCCTTCGAGAAGTCTGGCTACAAGGACCGCACTGAGGAATTCGCCAAGTACCCTGTCCCTGCTTTCTTCTCCGAGTACGGCTGCATCGACCCCAAGCCGCGCAAGTTCACTGATGTCCCTGTTCTGTTCGGTCCCCAGATGAACGACGTCTGGAGCGGTGGTATTGTCTACATGTACTTCCAGGAGGCCAACGACTACGGTCTGGTTTCAGTCGACGGTAACAGCGTCAAGACCAAGGACGACTTTTCCTACCTGTCCTCTCAGATGCAGAAGGTGACGGCCACTGGTGTGAACAGCGCCAGTTACACAGCCAGCAACACTGCCGCATCTGCCTGCCCTTCGGTCGGTACCAAGTGGGAAGCCTCCAATGAGCTGCCTCCTACTCCCAACAGCGACCTGTGCGACTGCATGGTCGACACGCTGTCTTGCGTGGTGAAGGATTCTGTGGAGGAGAAGAACTACGGCGACATGTTCGACTACCTCTGCGCCCAAGGTGTTTGCGGTGGAATCGCCTCCAACTCGACCAGCGGTGACTACGGAGCTTACAGCGTCTGCACTCCCAAGCAGCAGCTCTCCTACGTCATGAACCAGTACTACAAGAAGAACAACAAGGCTTCGACCGCCTGTGACTTTGACGGCAAGGCCCAGACCCAGAAGGCTGCTGATGCTTCGGGCACTTGCGCCTCTCTGATCAAGCAGGCCGGAACTGCTGGCACTGGTTCTGTGACCGCCGGTGCCACTGGTGGTTCCAGCAGTGCCAGTGCGACTTCCAAGGGAGCCGCTGGTGTTGCCGCTACCCCCATGGCTGTCAAGGTTGGCAACTGGCAGTTTGGAGCCTACATTGCCACCGCTCTCTTTGCCGGTGTCGGTATGCTTGTGCTATAGGTGAAACCGATTGGAGACGGATGCAGCAGAGGGTTGAGTGTGTCTGTGTCATTCGTGTGGTTTTAGATTTTTGTTTGAGTACATACTTTTTTTAGCAAGTAGTGTGATGCTTCCATTCCTTTCGACAGGAACTATTGCTTTTATACCTGACCACATGGCGGTCTGTTGGACATTAGTTGAATGAATGATTTAGTTTTCAATACTCTATGACTGCACTTAAAGCTCTTGTGGCCCATAGAAGTGGGTATTTAACCGGTTGGCAAAAGGAAGAGCTCGGAGGCAGTGGCCGAGTCTCGGTGTCAGTCACCGAAGTATGACTTGCAGCAGGAGTGGATCTTGCAAACTCATCCTCGGCCTCACACTCGGCATGCCGCACAACACCCGGAAAAGAATCCGTCACTGTACATATTTATCTGCCGTATTCCTCTACTAGCATGACTGAATTAGAACCGACTCCGATTGATATTGATCTTGACCAATGGGTCCGGTATCCCGACCAACAGACAAGTCATGGACACAACAAAGCCCAGCCTCGAACGTGCCAACCCAACCACAGCTCTCGACCCAGAAAAGAACGACCAAAACACCGCCCACCTCCCCCGCTGGCGCAAATGCATCATCCTCTTCGTGGTCAGCTGGATGACCCTCGCCGTGACCTTCTCGAGCACCTCGCTCCTCCCCGCGACGCCCGAGATCGCGGCGGAGTTCGGCACCACCGCCGAGCTGCTGAATATCACGAACGCGGGCGTGCTGCTGGCGATGGGCTTCTCGTCGCTTATCTGGGGCCCGGTGACTGCGCTGCTGGGGCGCAGGGCGGCGTATAATCTGGCGATTGTCTTGCTGTGTGGGTGTTCCGTCGGGACGGCGCTTGCGGGGGATATCACGGTGTTTACGGCGTTTAGGGTGGTGGGCGGCCTGACGGGGACGTCGTTTATGGTGCAGGGGCAGACGATTCTGGCGGATATTTTTGAGCCGGTATGTCGCTTTCTTCTTTTCTTGTTCTGGGTTGGCTGTTGGCTGTTGGCTGTTGGCTGTTGGCTGGGAGAGGGTCGTGCTGATTGGGAGGGTGATGTAGTCGGTTCGGGGCACTGCGGTGGGGTTCTTTATGGCTGGGTCGGTGACGGGGCCGGCGATTGGTACCGTTTCCCTCTTTGTTTGATTGGGATGAGTGTTTTGACGGGTTAATAGGACCGTGTATCGGCGGCTTGGTTGTGACCTTTGCCCACTGGCGCATCATCTTCTGGGTGCAGGTTGCCATGGCCGGGCTGGGCCTCGTCCTTTCGCTGCTCTTCGTCCCGGAGATTCGGGTCAGGAGAGAAGGCGTCCGCGACCAAGGACGCCGTCTGTCCGTGCGAGATGTCCTGGCCATGTTCAATCCCGTCCGTATCTTCCGGCAGTGGCTGTACCCCAACGTCTTTCTATGCGTACGTATCGCCTGCCTTCCTCGACGCATGGAGAAAAAGAAAACAGACTGAAGGAAGAGACAGGATCTCACCTGCGGCCTCCTCGCCATCTTCCAGTACGCCCTCCTCACCTCCGCCCGCGAGATCTTCAACCCCCGCTTCAACCTCACCTCCGCCCTCGTCAGCGGCCTCTTCTACCTCGCCCCCGGCGCGGGCTTCCTGCTGGGGAGTATCCTCGGCGGTCGACTATCCGATCACACCGTGAAACGGTATATCGCTCGCCGCGGGGGGCTGCGGCTCCCGCAGGATCGATTGAACAGCGGGCTGGCGACGCTGTGCGGGGTGATGCCCATCGCGGTGCTGGTATACGGGTGGACGCTTGAGACGGGGGCTGGGGGGATGGTTGTGCCTGTCATTGCGGCGTTCTGGGCCGGCGTGGGACTCATGGGCTCGTTTAATGGGTTGAATACGTATGCTGCTGGTGAGCTTTTTTTTTTTTCTTTTTTTTTTTTTTTTTTTTTTTCTTTCCCGTGGGTGGGGTTCTGGCTTTTTTTTTTGTTTTGGATAGGCCGTTCCCGGAACACCTCCCCGGGGCCCCTACGGGCAATTTTTCTGTGGGTTTTTTTTGTCCTGGGGGGGTTGGCGCGGCGGTTTCCCCCTGGCACAGGGTGTGGGGGCGGGGTGGGCGGTTCCTATCCTTGCTTTCCCTTCTGGTCGGGGTTTGGGGGGGTTGCTCGGGGGGTGGCCAGGGG